AAGACGATGCTAATAGTGGTATTGCAAAAAATATATATGGTAGTAGTTATAGTAGTAATAGCTGCATATTACGATACGGTATAAAATTGTTTTCTGAGAATTTTTTTCTCCACCAATTTAATGTTTTCTCGATTATTCCCCATTGAAAATGCTCATTTCATCATATATTTATTACATTTAAAATTTTGTTATGTCATTCCATTAGAGTTATTGAGAGAATTTTTGATGTAATACTTTTCCCTAAATAACTTTTTACTTTATCACTTCAACAATTATAGGTATCCGTTTTTTGAAATAAAATTAGAAATATTTTGAGATAATAAGTAGAAAAATTTGACCGAAATTATTAGATATTTCTGTTTTTTACATTTTTGATTAGTAACGTTTTTATTGTTTGGTTTACTAAAGAAATTTCTTCCATGTATGATCCTAAAAGTAATTTATTATTATTATGATTATCATTAATATGATTACTATTATTATTATTACTATATTATCATTATAATATTATTGTATATTATAATAACAATGTAATAATAACATCGCTATTATTACCACGGTATTATAATGATAATATAATAATAATAATATTATAGTAAACCAAAAAGAAGACAAAAATAGAACGAAGAAATTACCACTTTGATAGAAGAAAATTAAACATTTTGAGGCTGTTAACATTTTCGAGCCCATAAAAAAATATTTGCCCAGTGAAAAAATGGAAATCGACAACGATAAAATTTCTCTTTGAGTGCATTTTCAATAAAAATATTTCAATTTAAAAAATGCCATCGCCGTAAACAAACGAATATTTCTTTGATGCATTATCAAAACGTAATGAAAATTCCGTAAAACCAGTAAATGCTTTATGCAACATGAAATTTCGAACATTTTTTTTTTTTGAAAAAAGACCATCGTTCAATTTAAAAAATTTCTGAAGTCGTTTCTGCTTATCAACTACAGAAATCATTAATCGAGTCACATTAAGGAAATTTAATGAATTTATTCAGTAATCAATCAGAGAGATTTGATAAGTATAAAATTCGTTTCTGCTTATCAACTACAGAAAATTATTTCGAGTCGCATCAACGAAATTTAATGAATTTATCCAGTAATCAATCAGAAAAAAAGTCTATGTTAAATACGTCTCATTTTTTACATTTTATATATTTATTTATACTCGAGACTTTATCACATTGTTGAGCAAAGGTGAAAAACAATTGAAAACTATAGTAGCAAGAATATTTCTTCTCCCAAAGTTCTTTTTGGTAGACTAAATTTCAAACGCAAATATTATCAAAACAACAAACAGATTAAAATCATAACTGAACAGAAATGATAAAATTAGTCCTATGAATGGGTCTGTTTCTACGAAGACATAAGCAAAATCCGCGGTGTCTGATGTACATCGGCTTCTGTGGTCACAATAATTGAACAACCATCCTCATTTGTATCCATTGTTGTTAACATCGCTTTTCCCGTCTCTCGCGAAATATTAACACTAAAAGGAATTATCCAAATAATTATCGCCAAATAAATAAAGATGGAGGGATACAACTTGAAACTATGAGACTGTTTTCAAAAAATCGTCAAGTAGTCGCTGAAAGTATTAAAAAATATGCAAAGTGGCATGCAATGAATGTGTTTACAAAAATGACATTCGTTAAAATAATGCATTCAAAAACAGGGACGAAATTGAGTCTAATAAGCCCTTTTTGATCTCTTTAGCTTCCTTATTGTTCTTCTAATCCGAAGAGTTCACAAAGATCCGATGTATCATGCAACATTATTAAAGTATTTTGTTTGGTGCAGGCTTGATTGTTTTCTCAGTTCCATCCAAAACATTCCAGAAAAAAACTGTTATTCTTGGATCCCCAGAAAATACACATTCACATATCAACATATGACAACATAATACATAACAAAAAACCGAAACTGACTTGCTCGTGGCGCATTCACTTTCATCGCCTTGCATGCGGTCAGTCATTGTAGAATAACCCTGGTCACTTGATTCAGTCCGTGGAGAAACTCGGTACTGTGGACGAACCGCTGTCAATGGGTTGGACATTCTTTCAAATGACGTTAGTTGAACCAAAGTAACTATTTTTTCTGAAACTGTGTTTATATGTCTGCTTTTCCATCTTATCAATTTGCTTAAACTAATTATTTGGTTAACCTGAATTTTAGTTAAAAAAGTAAACTAATCATGTTAATAAAATTTCAATACCTTTCATGGATTCGGGAGTATCATGGTCAAGTTGAAAATCGTCATCTTCAAAATTTCTCCCACATAGTGGTGCACCATATGAATCCATGAGCGAATTCGCTCCCACCAAACGATTAACCTGATTTCGATAACAATACACAGCCATAACCTGAAAGTAAAGTATCAGTTCATATATACCACCACGTTTAGAGATCCAGAAGATGTAGTAGAGATTATTATTGATTCTTCTATGCTATTTTGAAATTATGTCGTGTAAAGTCAGATCATCAATACAAAGTGAGCTGAAATTTAAAAAAAAAAAAAAACAAAAGTATACCATAATTAAGAAAACACTCATTATTCCAGCAGCAACTGGTCCAACTGGTGCACCAACTCGCCACTCTGAAGCTAATTGCGACTCACTTTTCAAAAAACCTGGAGAATAGCTATTTTTGTCCAATTATAATGAATATCTGATTTATCGACAATAGCTGTAAAATCGAGATTAAAATCAAAAAGCACCTCGAATGCGTCTTCCTTTTGTACCACCGAAACATTGGTCAGTGGAAACGCAAGAAGGACTCAGAAGAAGTGTTTGCCCGTCGCTATCAAATGTACACCACTGACATCCCAGTATACCCAGACAATCATCAACCGTTTTATAATTTTCACATCTGCAATTATTTCACAGATATATTTGAACTGAACTTGATTTCGTTTAGAGATTTAATAATTTCACAATCATTATCATAAAACTGCACATCTTAGTTATGACATTATTTCTCTTTTATTTCTGGAAATTCAATCACTAGCTAATCAGGTTATGTTATCTGAAGTTCCTAGTAAAAATTAAAGAAGAAATAGTACTTGATGCTGATACATTCTGACAGTACAGTTTTCTGTAATGGCCTAGCACTGAATGGAATAATCGTGGCCATTACTGGACATTCCTCTAAATCTGAACAATCCAAATTTGGTAGAAAAGAAGCTTTCTGAAAATGTACGAAAATAAATCGCTCAAATTCCCAATTTTCTCATGAATCTTGTTGACCTAAAACTTAATTCTGCTTAGTCAGAAATCCGATGCCTCCTAAAATTTTCTATCATGAAAAATTAATATAAATTATGATATTTATAAAATACAACTCATGATGAATAAATCAATAATGTTACATTCTTCGTTATAAATCATATCTGTAAATGCAAAAAGTTGTCCATATTTTGCAACAAATTACCTGATAAAGCGAAACGTTTGATGAACTGACTGCGCATTGTGCATTACAGTTTAACGGACATTGACATGGGCATTCACATTCTGCATTATCGAAACGTGTGCAAAGGAGACAACGACGATCACTAACTGAACATGGACAAAAGGCCTGAAATATCAGCTTGTAATATCTAAAATATTATTGAATTAGAAAATGCTGAAAATTTCAGACTGAACTACCGAAAAATTCATTAAAAATATTATCAAATAATAATCATGGCCAAGTCAAACAGAGATTTTAAAATAATTGCATAAAATGAATAAAATGAGTGCGATAACTAGTAGCCAAAATTAAGAATTTGAAAAACCTAAAGAAAGACTTCAGTTGAGAAACTTTCGTTTATTTAATATATTTTCATGAAAAATATCAAATACTAAAACATGATTGTTCCATAGATTGGAGATAGATGCTAAGAAAGATACACAAGCAAAATTGATAAGAACACCTGGATGGGATGCTGTGGGTTACAACTTTCATTTATAAGAGCAAGAAACAAGTTTGTTTGTGGCACCGGGATCACTTCTGCACGAATACTTCCCAATTTCATACCAGATACTGAGCTGCCATCATCACATGGAATCTGAAGATATATTTTATTATTGATTAAAACAGCGGTTACTCTCAACTTTAGGAAGTAATTTAGTAGTCCAGAAAATTTCATCTGTAAGAGGCTAGAGGGAAGAAAATTCCAATTCTTTTAGGGCTTCATCGAAAAACTTATAAACTTCTGTGCAATTTGGAAAATATGTTTTATAAAAAAATTGTGAAAATTTGTCCATAAGTTTTTTTAAGTTTCCAGGACTCTATTCCGAGCGATTTTTTATTAGGAAAAGCAAAAGGAAAACGGTGTAAAAAACAATTTGCAATGGATAAATCCTACTTTCCTTTAGCGAGACTATAATTCTTCCCGGTCAGTGAGACTTGAGTATTTCATATATCAAAAAATCATAAACAAAAAATAAAAATAAATATGCAAAATAAAAAAATATATTTAAAAAACATACGGTCAAAGCATCTGAATACGAAATATTGAATCGAAAAAAACGTTCAACTGAACGAGTGGCCCATTGCATACACTGCCTTTTTTGAACAAATTCTGTTTTCGTGATTAAATATGTTGCAAGTTGAGGCTCTAGATAACTGATATGGAAACGTTCGACGGCATTCCACGAAACGCTTCTCCCATAGGACCGAGTTCCTTTATTGGAGACACTCGTTTCTATCCCACGTGAAATTACATTGCCCATGTCATCGAATAAAACACAACGCCGTGACTGATAATTATCAAAAACTTAAAGGTTACATTTGGTCCAATTATGTATTGTTATATTGTTTATGCTTGCCATTTCAAAATATACAAAAAATTCATTCTGAACTTTTATACCTCCATAAAGCAGATTATAATAAGCATTATGGTAAATAAAAATAAACCTCTTTACAAACACTAATCGCGCTTCGCAGCAATTTCGAGAAGAACCCCGCAGTTACATCCATCGCAACAACAGCAAAAACTTGATCTTTGGAATTATGCATACTTCCAGCTTGACCTAAAAAACATTTCTAAAATTTGAGCAAAAAAAATTCCATTCACAATCAAATGAAAATGAAAACAGCAGTTCCTAAAGACTAGAAATTTAGTTAGGAATTTACCTTCAAAAACAGCAGTCGAAATCGTTACAACTTGTCCTACACTATCTTCCAAGAATGGCCCTGTCACAACGATTCTTCCAGGAAATTCGCTAGCACGTACATACCTAAACAAAGATGAATGAAGAAAAAAATATATTATACAAGATGATTGGTGATTCATTTTAGATTTTATATCAAGAAAAAAATCGTTAACAGTAAAAGCTAAAATCCTCGAAATAAAGTTTCCTGAAGCGAAAGATTCCATTCACACTGACTCATTTGTTGGAATTTTTTGTCTACGACTATTGATATAGAGTTAGGGCTTTTTTAAAGTATTAAAACTGTACTTGAGACAATAAATGTCAATTTCCAAAAAAAAAAAACAAAAAAGCAGCCCAGACCGACAAAAAATTTGCAGAAAGTCGAACAAATCGACAAACTCAATGAAATTTAATAATCTAAGTTCTAAATGCAGGAACGTGATAAAACCAACCACAGTTGCAAGTCAGGCTCATAACTGTCACGAATCACTGTTGCCGGATAAGTGACCATAACACCTCGTGAAGTGGCTATATAACGTCGCAAGACAAATTCATGTGAATCACTAGCTGCTTTATCACGCCAGTACGGTATAATACCGGACAGTGCACTAACATGTTCACGAACACTCAACCGAATACCGGTATTTCGAATTAAACCGAAAGGGTCACCTCAAGAAATACTCTTATTAGAAGTAAAACTGGAAATCAGCCATAAGAGTCCTAACTACCGATTATCTGACCATGAAAATAAAAAGGACATTTTCCTAATAGCATTTTTCCTTTCATGTATGTACAAAATCACTTATTTTCCAACTTTTCTTCGTTTTATTTTGTTCAATTCTTCGTAGGAATTGCAATAAAATTGAAAAAATTTGTGAAAAATACCTAAATATACCCAATAATTTGCAATCCACTGTGGAGATGGTGGACGCTGCAGGGAAGAAACAGTGAAACAACTTGGGCTCAGATAAACACCACCTAATTTCATAGTAGAGAGATACCCAAAGTGAGAGCAATAGAAAAGCGATGAATCTCTCTGAAACAAATTTATTCAAAATATTTTAAAAAATTACAGTAAAAGCTTTTTAAGAAGTATTTTGAATTTCATAAAATAACCTGAATATCGAGGCGATGATAGACAAGATTATCCAGTACATATTCCCGTCTTGAATTCTTTAAAAGCATTGGAATTTTGGCCTCCATTTTGCTAACTTTCATTGCCATAACAACAACAAATGGTGCATTCTTTAGCTGAAAAGTAATTTAATAAGAGGTGATAAGACAAATATAAATTTCGGCAAAATAAAATGAATGATTACATATGCATATAACTTATAGGCTATTTCATTGATAATTAACAAAGCTTGTACAAAATAAGCAAGACTCTCCAGTGCAAAGAAGCTGATATATAAAGTTAGTAAACGCTTTGTCTACTAAGTCAGCTACATTCTCTTCATCCCTCATTTTTTCCTAAACCACGACTATTCTTTTTCATCCTTTGTTCTCTTCATTAAAAAATTCTGGAAATCTTGTAGCACAGTTTACTTCATTTTGAGAGAAAACATTGAATTGCCAGTGTCTCAACGTGGATGATTTTCTACCATCTTTCATATACGTTATTTATGGTTTTTTTTAGTTAAAATCTTAAATGAACTTAATTGACATCACTTGTACTAAGTAAAACTACCAGCACCACTTCTTCCTTTATAATTTCGCATAAGAAAATAAAATTTTAAGCTAAAAGAAACAACGGAAAAATACCCGTATCCACGTGTACTTTAATTTTGTTTTTTCCATCACTTCTTTCTTTACGATTTCGAATGATCCTTCGCTTATTTCATTAACTGAGAAATGCTCACTAAGCCATAGATCTTTTTCTGACCAAGCTTCTAATGTTCCGATATGCAAGGGCCATGGTGATGTTTTACGCATGTGAGAAGCAATAATGACCCGACTAAAAAAATTTCAACTCATACTTTGAAATTTCTTAAAATATTATTGTGACAAGCCTATCAGGCTTCAAGTGATAGCAGCCTTTGTATCCTGTTAATTGTATCCCCAAGACAGCAATTTCTCTCATGTCCTCTCTCCTCCAGGGGAAAAGAAGTTGCGAAATTACTCTTCTTGAAAAGAATGCAATTACGAATTCGAAACATTTTGTCAAAGTAGTGATAACGTTACCCCTGTAAATCACAAAGAAAAATCCGCAATCTAGTCTTCGCTGGTGCCATAACTACTAAATCATTGTATTTGATAACATCAGCAATTACATCCAAGTTCAAATCCATGCCAATCACGGCTGCCTAGAAAGTTTTTTCCTCATTTCATAAATTGAAAAAAGTTTTTTTTTTAAAAATTATTAAGGTAATTTTCAATCAATATCACATGTATAATCAGACCAATTTGTTATCCTTCCGGAAGCTGGTGGAAAGAGAAACTAGAGTTGCCTGATGTTCACTAAAAGGATACGACCAGAACAATCCCTTGTCTGATGAATAAGCAAGCAGTTCATCATTATTATCAATAGAAAGAAGTTCAAACATTCGGAATAGTGTAAGCGTTGCATGCTCATCAGTTCCAGTTGAAATCATCTGCAATTAATAAGTTACTATTTATCGAATCATCAAATTAGTCCATATAGCTTGTATATATTAATGCAATGAAAATTTGTAGCATCAGAGATGAAAAAAGCACAGCACTTTTCCTGGTATTATCGTTTTGTTCAAGGCTGCCTTCAACTTTTCGCCAAGTGATTGCTGGTATTTCGTTAAATTCATTTCCGCTATATTTTTCAAAAATTCGTACGACCAAAAAAGTGGCTTTCCATCATCTATAACTATGATTTTCAAAATGTATCAAGGAGAAATCCTTATTTTATTTTTCTATTTGACAACTAAATCGTAGTCTGAATCAATTTTTATGCATCTAACTTCACCGCTAAGTATTGCATCATCTCCATAAATACAAAAATAATTTTCAATAGCACAGGTAGTCGTGAAATGAGGATAGGTACCTTTTATTCCCAAAAGATAGTTGCCATAACCAATTTGCTTAAAAGTGAGACGTACTAACAGCAGAAGTTCATGTGATTTATGTAGTACTTGTATCACATATCCCAGTTCGAAATTATCAATAAATCAACTCAGCTCAACTAGTACCCACGCTGGATTTTTTAAGAATTACTCCCAGTCGAGTCACAAACAATTTATTCTTATCTAAATGTCAAAAAGGTACGTACTATCGCTCAATGCCACAGTGTTAATTTTTATGCGAACATTCGCTTTTAGAACAATTTCCGCCACTGCATTTAAAACCGAAGCTGCTTCACCTAATTCTGACATTACACCTCGGCTGATGTAAAACAGAATATTATGATGGAATTCATTTCTATCATCTTCTCGGTCAAGTGCTTCTTCCTGCAAAAAGATGGAGCCCAAAATCAAATTTGGCTAACAGACAGATCAAAGAATATTCCTGCCTATCAAATTTCAGGCGAGAACTGAGATTATGAGAAATACGGAATGTAGACTTCTTCCTCATTACTTTTCAGAACTGATAAGGAAGGATGATAAACTACAGGACAGAATCAGAATAACGATAAGATGATCGAATTTGGGCTTTACATTTTGAAATCCCATAATCGTTCCATCTTTACCCTTTTTTTAAAAATAAAAACATAAAAGATCATAAATTCTAGACTGTACTGTTTGAAAACTGAGACAGGAGAAGTATGAGTCGTGTGAAATAGCATGTTTCATCTTGGTAACGAAAAATTTTAGAACACTTTTTCACTTTTATATTCTTCATATTTTTTCTTTTTAATTTTTATGCATAATGACTTGAAAAAAATTGTCCGCTTACTTCAACAAATAATCTGCAGGCCATCTGAATAGCACTAGTATGTGAATATGCTTTCTGATTACCTCGTTCAAATGCTTCTATAAATGCTGTCATTACGGCAATCTGTTCACTCGTTACACCCAAGAAATTTTGATTTTTGCAAGCTTTAGTATTATTTGTTCCATTTGATACCATTACCATGTACCTGCGCATTTCAAATTTTGAAATTTTTATGGAGACAACGGATGTCCATGCTCATTTCGAAATATTAATGTGTGAACAAAATCTCCTACGAAATCTAATCTGGATTCTAGTCCAAAAGTAAGGTCAGCTATGGTCAAACAAGGTCACGGTATAGTTTTCCGTTAAATTTTCAATAAAATAGAGGACATAATATCATATGTTGGTTGGAAGGATCGATCAGTCCCAATGGTCCGTATAGAGTCGTCTTGACAACTGCTGTCTTAAATGCATGATATCCAAAGACATGTTTAATTAACTGCCCGAATATAACATGAGATAAAAACAAGATAGTCTGTCCATCGATTATCCATAACCACGGGAATTCAATATTAACATGCTGCAGTTAGTTATTTTAAACTACTTTTTGCAAATATCAGATGGCAGAGACCATTAAAATTTACCTATCTCCAGGAACAGCACTGTCAAGAAGGATTTTAGCAACACTCTTTGCTTTAGCCAGATGTACGTCAGAAAGTAGTGTTCCTGAAATATTTGAAGGCTACACACTGAGCTATCTGATTACATATTCCAAATTCATAAGCATGTAAATTCCTCGAAATAATTTTAAATCATAAAATTTAAATCTTAATTTTTTTTAATTCTTAAATTTTTTAAACCTTAATTTGAGATCTTAAATCTTAAAATGAATAAAATTGAAAAAAATCCATCCTAATTTAGACCTAGGAAACTAATGTCCACTTGCTTAAAAAACATCTTTCTCGCAAAATTTTAATCAGATGTTCCAAATACTGATGCTAAAATCAAAAGGCAATAACTTTATTTTGGTTAATTCCAGAGTACATCTCTTAAATAACTGAAGTGAAACACTTCAATTTTCATCCCTTTTTGAATCAAGTATCTTTGATAATAAATGACGCATAATAGACATTATATAAATAAATAAACATATGTATTACTTTTCCTGTCTTATTCTCCATTCCTCTCACTATCTGTGAATATGCCGAAAACCCTTATAAATAAACAAACCTGCATCGATAAGAATTATAACACGTCGCTTCTGAGGCAAAGCTGTGGCAAGAAATGGACCCCAGTGTCTTCGTTTATGAACCGGGAAGGCATGTGCCGGATATTCGACATGTGGTCCACTGGTACCAATAATATATTGCCACCGAACTGCACTATCAAGTGCGTTCGCTTGCAAAACTAAATTTTTTTGCGAAGCATTATTAGATAATTCGTACTCTTTAAACCATAAATTAAAATAAATCTGTTCATTAATTATAGAAATCACTAGCTAGATTGCAAACAATAATCATAAAAAGCTTACGAACAACGACAAGTTTTCGACTTTCAGAACCTCCCAGGATATGTTGCAATGAAATAATGCCTATGTATCTAGATAACAATATAAAATCTCTCGCTACCTGATGTGAGATTTTTTTCAGCGTAATATAAGAATCTTGATGGCTGTTTGGCTGATATCAAGCATGCACTGGTCATGTTTACGCGTGTACCAAATTGTTCTTCATAGCTTAAAACAGCTTAATTAATAGCGTTAGCTGATGGTAGAAAAAACTGATTAATCTTTCACAAGTTCTAATTTTTTTAGTGGTTGCAGAAGATAGAAAGATGAACTAAAATATTAAACATGGTGTTGCAAATGTAATTGGAAATGGCACTTTCAAACACAGCAAACAATAATATAATGCTGATCGTTGCAAGAAGGGAAGCAATTCAAATTAACCAAAATTTATCAATTCACAGTATCAAAAAAAGCTCTAATCCTATAAACAACACACCCCAAATATCCCGGCATAATCTGCTCACATTCCGTCATTGATCTGTAGTCGCGAAAAGTGGTCCAATCTGGTTGCGAACTGCTTGAAATGTATTTCTTTGTTTCAGTCAACAAATTGAAATATTTTGCAAACTGTGCGTCGAGGAGATTCGTTATATCACGTACTATAGAAGAATTAAGAGCTGTCCGCTTGAAATCCAAACCATCAATAATTGACTACAAATTAAATGTTCTTAAGAAAGCATGTCTGTGGTTCAAACTTCTGAATTAATTATCAATGAGAAAATCGACAATGCAGACTTAGAAATTTATATATTCTTTATTTTTTTTACTAAAAGAGAAAATTTGTAATCCTTGAAAAATTATTTAAAAACTCGACGAAAATCATACCTGTATGACAGGTACACCGAGCAATTCGTTAACCTGCAATCGATGCGCTTTGTACAGTTGATCGGCTGTAAAATGTGCAGCAAGCGTGATGTAATTTTCACGTACGACATTATGATATTGATGATACATTGCTGTGATAGCGATGAAACTTGTAATAAACGATGTAATCACTCGAACCAAACAATGATGCATTTGAGTGAATAAAGAATGATTGTATCAATGATAACAGACGAATGATGCAACAAGTTCGTTTAATTTATATTTTGATAAAATAGATCTTGGAGCATTATAATTTATTACCTTTGATCCATTTCACATCTGAAATAATGTATTATATCACTTAATTGTTTGAAAGAAAAAATCAAAACAACCAAAACACATTATTCCAGTAAAAAATAATTAAATAATTTGAAATAATTTAATGATGAACTTATTTAGTATACTCTGCGTTTCTAACAATGCAGAATTCATCATTCCCAAAAGAATTTTTCCATGACTGGTAAGCAGAATGATAAACATTGATGACCTGAAACTGTCACACTATCGTTTCTTCTCCATCCACCTTTTTTGTGTCTAACGGAAAATTTTGAATTAGCGAAAAAAAATTGGTAAGTGGAGGAAAAAGGAATGAAAAAATCTGAAGAGGGTAATGGTAGTCTTAATAATATGAGGTGAGAAATTTAATTAAATTACATTTCTGATGTTATTTATTATCGAAAAAAGCATCTAATCTTTCGGCGTATTTAGTTAAAGAGTGAAATAATCTATGGGTGTTTCATAACAATGATGACATATGAACATTAGAGAGTGATTTATATAAATATGGCAAGTTGAATGGAGGTAAAAATAGAAGAATGAGCTGTCAATTAATCAAGTTACACAACCCAAAATGATGAGTTTTCGTAATAAATAGGCGAAAGTAAATTTTTAACAAATTCCTTTTAGGGTGATTAAAAATATTGATGTGATGATGAGAAATTTCAGAAGGATGAATAACGAAGAACCACTCCGCTGCACTCACGTTCCGGCAATCCGTAAATTACCACGTCGCCCTAACTGGGACAGAGGAAGGGAAAAGTCGCAAGAAATATAGGGAGAAGATTGGGTGAGGTAGACTGAGGGGTCGAGGCATGCAAGAAGATGGATCTCTTTGGCATTTCTCTCTTTCCCTCTTTTGAACTCTTTCTTGAGGAAAGTTATGGGGGATCAATTTCTATTCCTCTTTTATGATGTCCTCATTCATCGTCTTAATTATACAGTTCTCGTGACCTTATGAGCTTAGCGAGAGATTGTATAGCAAGAACTATCGCTACACTGTTATTGCCTGCGATAGTAGAAAAATTTTTTATTGTTCAATACAGCTGTAAATTCCGCTGAATGCTGAATATCAGTCTAATCATAAAATTATCAAAATGTCCCATTAAATTTAAACTGGCAGGATCCAAGCTTTCCTCGAGAACTTCTTTGCCTCAGTGATACTAAGCATTTCTTGCTTGACATTTATGTTAATATTTGAATTTACTTAGCTTGTTATCTTATATGTAGAAATGGCTAACATTTGGTATTTATTAATTTTTAGTTCCAATATAAAAAATTCAACATTATTCATTTCATTCTCATTTATCTTTAAGATTCCATTCCTAGCTGGTTGCTTAACTGAAAATGGTTTGATTTGATACATTTCGGTTGATCATTTTTTTTGTAATTGCTTCCCTAAATTTTTGTATTATAGAAGTTTTTCTTCCTCTTTGGTCGAAAGTTATGTTAAATAATTTTAATTTCATCTCCTATTCATGTTTAGTTTGATTATTCGATTATCCAATAATGTATAAAGTTTTGGTTCGGAAATTTGATTTTTTTGTGAATAAATAATCAACAGTGTACAAGTTTTCTCATGATGATGAATGACAAAATTTTAAAAATTGTAGAAAGCATTCAGGTACATTCACCAAAACGCATCAGTCATACTACTAACATTAAATTAGAACCATACTCAGTTGTTAGCGATACGTCAATCGTTCCAACTGATTATACATCAGTTGCATCTAATGAAAGTTTCTACGACACTTCACACATTCTCGATGGCCGACCTGTTTTTGGACCTTGGCCTAAACCTATATTGTATCAGTTTTTTCTTGTTTAACAATTTTTTAAGTTTGAAAAATTTTTCAAAAATTTCTGGTCTAATTACATTTTTGACATGAAAAAATCCAATATTTCTGGTGAATAAATTTTATAGGCCAATGAAAAGTCATTCAGATTCAAATCAAGTTCATAAATTAACACAATGCATCGAGCATGATATGAAAAAAAGCTCTTCTGATACAACAATGGATATTGCTATTCACTGTGGAAGTAAATTAAATTGATAGTTGATGATTCAATAATTAGCAAACTTATAATGAATAGTACTGTTGTATACAACGCTATAATTACTATTCTTTTCTACTGCGGTATTTTCTTCTGATCAAGTTTTCTGCTTTGATATCTTTTGACAACATATCAGAAAATTATGATATCAGTAGTAAGCATAAATGTATGAATAATAAAAAAATTAAGCTTAGAGTTTGTTTTGTTATGGCTGTAAATTAGAGATTTCCTTGAAGCCTTAATTATAAAAAAATGACTATTTATAAAATCTATTATTTTTATAAAATTTTTAAATTTTAAATTTAAACAATAAATTTTTATAAAAATGACTATTTGTAAAAACTCAAAAAATCTTATTGAAAAACTGCATGGATGTTATTTTCTTTTTCTTCTTTTTCATACCTGCTTTTTAGGCCTTCTAAAATTTCATTTTAGCGAAAAATCGAAATTCTTTTTAGCAATTTAGCCTAATCAGTTAATTTTCAGAATCATCAAAAGAAATCAATACAACAACAATCAGTATTCCAGTAGCGGGAAAATATGACATCGCCACACAAAAGGTTTAAAAATTCTTTCGTTATTCTGAAATCTCATTTTTTCTCATCATTTTTCAACTATTATCGTCTATAATTTATTAAATTTATTCATCGAAATCCCATCTTTTTATTCAAAATACAAAATTGTTAAATTATTATTGTTGAATATTTTCAGTTATCAGAAAATAATTTGAATGAGGGAACTGCCGCAATATCTCACGGACAAATCAGTTATAATACAGCAATTTTAAAAAGTGGCGACATTTTGGTAAGTTCAATTTAATTTCATCAAAAAATTATGCATGAAAAAATAATCATATGACACTTTCATATTTTTACAATAGTCATTTGCTCATTTAGTCTAAAAAATAATCCGGAAGGAAAAAAGAAAGCTTTAGGTTTTTTTACTGAACTCCATGGATATATTTTAGGATGAAGCGAAATCGGAGCATTCTATTCATATGATAACAGATATGGTATCACCAAACGAGCAAAATAAATTGCACTTTGAACAGTTTCAGCAACGACTTACATCATTAGCTACGCCATTTGTTAGCATAGTATAAGTGATTTGATTAAAACTATCTCCAATTTTTATGAAATAAAATTGATAAATAGATTAGCTTAGAAAGAAATATTTATAAGCTATATTATCTTATCATTTATTTTTTGAAATGAATTGATAAAATTTTCAACAAATGCTTTATATAGCTTGGGGCGAGAATTGGAACAACTGGTGAATCATCCACTGATGAAGATTTAGGAACGAACGAAACTGACAATGTTAAGGTAAAAAAAAATAATGAAAACGATAGAAAGTAATGAAACGGCATAAGTGTAGAAAATATGAAAGAATGAGCATTATTTATTGAAAATGTGATTTTTTTTCAAGAAAACTTGGATTAGCATTGTAATACTAAATTGAGATTTATTTAAATTTTACAATCATTTTTGTAAAGGTAATTCAGATATAATTGACGAAAAATCAAAAAATAGTAATTTCATTTTTTAGAAACTAATTGGAACATTGCAATCGGTATCGCAATCAATTAAATCAAAAGGAACTTATGATGGTATGAATTTCTTTTCCCGTTTCAATTGAAACTGTACTTTTAAAGTAATTCAGTCATAGCTTCTTGACATAATAGGTTTGATAAAAAAAAATTTTTTTCCTAACTGTTTCAGAAATTGAAATTGATGATGAATTAACGGTGCACAGTTCCTCATATTTTCAACAAAAACGTATCGCAGATTTACCACTTTCTTCATCTATTTCTTCTGTGGTAAGTTGAAAGATAATTTAATCTTGTTGCAGTAGATTTTCTTATCCGAATATTCAATTTTATCAAAAAAAAAAATATTTTATCAAAATATTTCTCCATTGCTTCATTTTCAACTTAGAAAAGTATCTCAAAACTAATTCTTATTATATTTACAGTGTGCAAATATGATTAAAAACTAACAACGAAATTTGAAATTTGAATAATTTTTGTCCTAAATCTTTTTGAATTCTTTTTTTTGTATTTCAACTCATTTTCTTCTATCTACGCACATAAACAACATTTATTCATTTTTCATTTTGTTTACTCCGAATGTTATCTTTAAGAATGCGATTTAGATTTCATTTAATTTGATCTACCCATTCATTTCATCTACTTATTCATATCGAAAAAATTTTGCAAAATTTATTATCACTTATTCTAAAAATATCGGTCATAGAATACAGAATAAATCATTCTATGGGCTAAACGTTTAAAGTTATACTACTACTATTATTATTGTTATTATTATTTTCACAATTTAGGCTGAAAAAACACAAAAATTAATGGATGCAACGTATCAGACAGCACTCAGTCAAGGTTGATATTCATTTGTTTTTTTTTTGAAGTAATTTAACGAAACTTTCCACATAATCCTTTTTACAAAATTTGATAGTAAAAACTAGAAAATCATTGATGAATTCAGCAGTTGCTTAAATTATTAAATATGAAATAACGCCAGCCGAACTCATTTCATAAAATTGCCTCTTCAGAAGATATACATTTATTATCCGATACAATTGAGCAGCAATGCAATGATAATAATAATAATTCAAATAATGCCAATTTGATGAAGAAATATGCTAATGAACTAATGCTTGGAATTGGAAAAATTCTACGTAAAGAGAATGGTGGAATTGCTGCACTGTATAAGCATACTTTAGAAAGGCCTGATTCAAGATTTAGCAAAATTTTATATTCCATGATTGCGTAATTTTGCTGTAATATAAATTTGAAGAAAGTTTATAGCGACGAAATTGAAATAGGAAAAAATAGGAATTACTGAATAAATCTTTTAAATTTGAATACATGTAACCTTATATAATAAACGTTTTAGATATTTCTGACGTTTATTAAAATACAATTCACCTCATCTTAAAAATATACATAAATTAAACGGGAATTTAAGTGGTTTCCAAATTATTCCATATGTATATTTCCTAAAAATGATACCAAACAACATTACAAGATCATAGAGTTCAAAATGGTATGAATTATCAGTATCTAAGAATCTCCGATTATTTTAAGTTAGGAACAATTATGAAGTAATAAAAGAATAATATATAAGTTTGCTTGTGCGATCTTTTCATTTTGCCAACAACAATTTCACTTTCTTTCACAGATAGAATAAAAAAATGACTTCTCAAGTAATTAGGGAGTTAATTATGCAGGTTAAAAAGTTTACACCGACAAATTAAACAAAGCTATAAAATATTACTTCGCATATATTCAAATAAGTAAAACTGGAAATATCGAAAATAAACTTCAATTATATGAAATTACATTTAAATGGCAGAAATTGGCAACATTTTTGCAGTTATTAGCTTTTTTAATAAATGAATGGCAGAAATGATTCATTTAAATTGCATTTAATTTACACAAAAAAGGTGTATGATGAACTTTTAGGGAGTTAATTTTATTGTGAATATTAAGGGATGTAATTTTATGATTCATTGCAGTTATATTCTTTTTTTAAACAATTAAATAATACATTGCATCGATACCGTACCTTTGCCTTTTTTCTCATTTACTCTTTCTATATATACATTACTTCAGCTACTAAATCAGTTAAAACAAAAAAGAAGACAGAAATTGAATTAATTTTTAATTATTTATCATCATACAGTTCAATATCAAACAAAAATTGATATTTTAATAATCATCAGAAATTGCTTTACTATAAAGAATGAATGATAATTATGTAAAATCATTTCCTTCCAAGCAACAATATATCACTTATCACTTCTAATTAATTTTCAATAACTAAAATTATGTTGATTAAAGCATTCATAAAAGCAACTTGAAATATAAACTAACCAATTTGATACAAATAGCTTTCATATACAGTTTCGCAATGCTAATTGTTCATGCCAGCTTTTTGTTTTCTTTCTCTTTTTGTATTCTGACCAAGTTATGTAATAATAATGATAGTAGTAGGCGGTAGTAATAATAATAGCAATAGTAAAACTGTTATTACCAAAATGAATCAAATTGTTTTTATATGATATAACATGTGAGAGAGACTCATTTCTCGCTTTTGTATCATTCGATATTTAATACATTTTATGATAATGTTATAAAAGCTGGCATCAATGTACAAAATGCAATGATTTCTCAAATAAAACAAATTCAAATGCATATTTTCGTCTAAAAACAAAGGCACCTAAAAAGGATTGAATGAAATTCACAAATATCTTTGATGAAATGTTAAGAAAAGAATTGCATGTTTTTGATGAAGAAACAAAGAACTGATGAAACATATTTACTTACTATATATAAACAAATAAATAATAAAGAAACCGTTAGGAGAAAATCAAATTATTTGAAAAATGTTGAGTTTAAAAATGTTCAATGCGCAAATAGCACAATGACAACGAATTTTTCAAAGTATAAAAGAGTTACGAATTAAAAAGGAGAAGGATGAGAGAGTGAAAATATTCCATGAAGCAGAGAAAATTATTATTGTTTAAGATTTAAAAAATTTTGTGAAGATTAAAATTTTTAGCTAATTAATTAACACTCATTGATTCATTAAAAATTGCAAAAATGAATCTTCACATCTAATTGATTTTGAACTAATTTTACAATATCATCCTTTGCTTTAAACAAAGAAAAACTCTAACTTTAATTCATTTTTTTTTAATTTCACTTTCCAATTTAAATTAAAATAAACAATTAATATTTATCATTAAATTTTTTCCATATAAATTAGACAAATTATTGATTTAAAAAAAAAACGAAAAGTAATTTAGTAATGCTAATTGTTTAATTGTTTGTTTGAAAAAATATTCGAAAAAAAGAAGATTAAATAAAGCTATAAAATATATCAAAATTGGAAATAATAGTTGAGAAAGAAATGAACTAACATAATTACACCGGATTATTTATATATCAATAAAATTATTTATATTTCAACTAATACTCAATTATCTAATATTTAGCAAATTTATGCCAATGAATTAGTACCCGTTTGAATTGCAAAATTTGAAATATTAAATGCCAACAGTATCACTTATTTATCATAATTTATATAATATTCCATTAAGTATTTATTATTTATAATATTAAAATGTAAGCAATTACAAGTTAAACAAATTAATGTCTATCATACAAAGAAGCTATCTTTACTGGAGGATGGAAATGATGACAGAACTCTCGGCATTGTTGCAAGTCGAGATGAAGTAAAGGCTGCAGTACGAGATTGAGGGGATAAATGATATGATTGCATACGTTGATGTTCCGGACGACTTCTCGTATGTTGTAATGTGGTAGTCGGACCCGGCCTTAAAAAATTTAATTAAAATAAATTTTAATAGAATATTCAATCTTGTTTCACCAGGTAAAATTTTCTTCTCTTAATGATAATTACTTATCTATGAAAAAGGTTATAAATAATGAAATTATCGCAGTGTATTGAAATATGAAACGAAATTAAAATATCAAATCAGATCAACAAAATATTCTTCTAATTATTTCATAATTGACAATTCTAACCATCTATTATCAAATATAAAAATTTAATTTTGAAATTAAAAACATGCGTATTTAATTTTAAGTGTATTGAATTACTAATGAAATGCTTAAATATGCATATTTAATTAAAATTCTTAACTAATACTTAAAAATTTGAATAACCTCTTCAGAGCATTTCGTATTATCTGTACTTCTTCAGCAATTAACCCGTAACTGAGTAAATCAATATGACCAAGGCGTATTAAATCGGAAATCCTACTAACACCGGCCATGTTAAGTTTCAATGCACAATGTCCCAAACCAATACGCTTCAAAAATTCATCCAATGAAAGTTGTGAAGATAATGATAAAGATGTTGGTGATGCATTCGTATCAACTGAACGTGGAAGCGTATCAAATGTTGAAAATCCGACACTATAAATTTTACTATTTATTGATTTCTATCTGAATATATACTTTAAACAAATAAGAAATCAAAAACAAGAGAAATGTAAGGAAAAAAAGAGGATTTTAAATATGAATTACTTCAAATTAAAAATGAAAGCAAAAAAGTGTATAATTAGTTTTGTAAGTATAATATATCTTAATATATATTAATCTAAATTTTGTCATAAATATCTAACTACTGTTTATCATAAATCAAATCATTAAATTTTCCGTAAAAATATATCTTAATATGCATAATTAATCTAACAATTGCTTATCACCGAATAATCAAACTTACTTTGCTGTCGTCAAATTACTCAAATCATCGGCATAGATTAGTGACGGTTGACGAACATATTCTTCGAGAATTTTAAGAATTTGTGCAAATGTTGGTCTTTTATGACGATCAATATGCCAGCATTGCAACATTAAATTATGTAACGATATCGGTGTATCCATTGGTGATGGCAAACGATATCCTAATGTTATTTCACTGATTACTTTTTGATTCGTCCAATCCCAATATGGCCGTTCACCAAATGAGCAAACCTATATAGAAACATAATTGAATAATTGGAAATTATTTTCTGATTGATTTCTTGAATTTCTTATTTAGCATAGGTGGATAAGAATAATCTATCGATGATATCTTAACAGTTACATTCTAACAAAGTATTATCGACTACAAATATACATTTATTAAAGATATTTGAAATCGAAATTCTGAATATAATTTATAATCGTTTTACAATTTTTATGTATTTTTCAGGCTAACTGTTCTATAATTTCCATTCCTTTCATGCTAGCGATAAATCGCTGGATGATTAAAATTCTTCGAGGAATATATCATTGTCATTCATTCTTCCTCTTTCAACAGCAATAAAATACTGATTTAAATATGAATTTCACGAATAAATCACCTCCCACATAACAACACCAAAGCTCCAAACATCTGAGGCAGCTGTAAACTTCCGATGGGTTATAGCTTCAGGTGCTGTCCAACGTACTGGTATTTTTCCACCATTTGTTGTATATTCTTGTTCAACAGATCCATCTACACCACGACTTAAACCAAAGTCAGCAATTTTACACAGCAAATTCAAATCTACCAAAACGTTTCGAGCTGCTAAATCCTAAAATAAAATAATGTTTTTTAATAATTAATTCAATAAAAATATGCTTATTAAATTATAATGACGTAAAATTACCCTATGTATAAAGCCTTTTTCGGTAAGATATTTCATTCCAGCCGATATTCCTCGTAGCATATCAATTATTTGCACTAATGCAATAATTCCATTATCATTCTTCCGCAAAAACTGATCTAATGATCCATTTTCCATATATTCAATTACTATCATAATCTGCAAGTAATTTATCAGTTAGTGAAAAGTGTCAATTTATAAAACTTTTAAAATATCCAAATTTCAAATTGTTATGATGAAAAAAGATAAAGAAAGCTTACTGGTTCATTTTTCGTTACTACGCCAATTAACCGGATTACATTTTCATGAGCGAATTGACCCATAATAGATGCTTCCATTAGAAAATCACCTTTTGCTTTATCACTGCTGCCTGGTTTTAACGTTTTAATAGCGACAGTCTGAACCTGTACAAATTTAATTTTAAAAATATTTTCGACTAACTTCGGAAATAAAAAAGATATAGTTTTAGTAATTTTATTTGAAGAAGCATATAAAATTCATAAACTGAAATTCATTTTAAAAATTCTACATCTTCCATAAACCCGTTCATCGATTTTTTTTTCAAATCTTTTGAGGTATACATAATATCAGGGGTATAGAACATAATTAGGACTCTTAATTTCACTGTCAAAACGCGTTACCTGACTAATATCAGAAGAGGTCATTCTATAAGATGGTTGCAAGACACCTTTACAAACTTCACCAAATTCGCCACTTCCAATAACTTCTGTGATACGTATCAAGGCCGGATCAACGTCGTTCGCAAATTCCGACAAAGCCTAAAATAAATTTAGTATTGTAAAATTGTTACAGTTATAAAATGTCACATATCTAACCTCTTTTGAAATATATTTATTGAAATTTCCAACAAAATTACTAAGAATTTCAAATTTACTAAAAAACAGTTGAAATTTGATAAAATGGTTCAGTTTTCCTGAAAAATGCTTGAATCATAATTATTCATTGCCATCAATGAAATGACAATTATTCATTGCCATCAATGAAATGAAATACCTACCTGATTTGGATCTTCATATGCTGCCGGATCAACATAAGGTTTGAAACGAGCAGTTTCACCATAACTAGTTGATTGCGATGAACCGTAATTTATTAGTGGTGAACCCACTGAAAAACTTTATAAAAATCAACAATCTGATTTCATTAAAGTAAAATTAAGAATGATTTTTATGATCCCATCAATAATACACTGATAATTATAATTTTAAAATACTATTAACACTAATAAAATAATGATATTAAGATCAATTATCAGAAAAATGTTCAATAATCAACGGTGATAAGCTTGCTTACATTTTACGCGAAAAAAATTCTGCACAGGGCCTTGTGAAGTTGGTGCATTGAAGTCTGGCGTTAATGTACCTCAAAATTGACTTAATTTATTATAATATCCAACAAATTACTCATTACTTATAAAACCATGAACAATAATTATTTTAAAAACTTCATTAGCAAACATGCAGTAAAAGAATCACTAATCATGCTAACCATTTACTAACATAAACAATTAAAGTAATTAAAAAAATTCCTTTAGCAAATAGATGCATTATCAATTTATGAACACTATAAAGTTATTTGTTAAACTAAAGAAATTACTATCAATGAATATTGATTTTTTCGATATTATTATTATAATTATCGGTATATTATTACTATTATTATTATTATTATTATTATTATTATTATTATTATTATTATTATTATTATTATTATTATTATTATTATTATCAGTATATTAACAAAAAAATTACTTAACTTAACTAACATCTAAAAAATTTAAACAAATTCAAAAATTTTAAACATAATTTCGAAATTACATTTAAGTAAGCTTAAAATTTTAAACAGATATTACGCTAAATTTTCAACGTTCTTCTAATGTTTTAGCAAATTAGGCAAGACGACAGAAGCACAGAAGCATTTTATTAAATATAAAATTAAAAAAAGAAACAGAAATAAAATAAAAATCATTTCCAATGTGATTTTGCCTACCATATGAACAAGAATAATGCCGAACTGAAATAAAAATCGAACCAAAAGTATGAATTTATTAATTATCCGTACCTATTTGTGTAATTAAACAGAATTTTATTTAAACATTTAAATTAAATTCAATTAGCAACTATGAAATAAATAATTATTTTGCATAGTTATTTACAGAATTTAACTAATTAAACAATTAAGGAATTAATGCTTCATCTTATTTGCATAGTAACAATAAAGGTAAATATGTTTTTGATAGTATAAAATGTATATTTATAAAATGAAAATTACAATCCAAATATATTTGTTCATCAATTTTAAACTTAGAAAACAGAAAAATGAAAATACCATTTTTATAGAAATCGATACCATCACAATCGCTTAATCGTTTTCGATTTCGATTTTGTCGTAAACAAATAAGTAATGTGAATAGGGCAATAATCATGAAGGCACATAGTAATAAAACCCATACCCATAACGGTGGTCCAGCTGATGACCAATGCAAATCGCTAAAGATAATGGAAAAATAAAAAAGAAAATTGTAAATTTTAAAGAAAAGTGTAAAGTAAATTTAAAAAATTTGAATATGACTTTAATGTATGAGCTCGTATAAATTAAAATTTGAATATTACTATAATAAAATAATTTACACAATGCTATTATTATGCATATAATCATCATTATTATCAACATTATGGCTTATTGGTCCAAATGGTAAACTTCGACCAGGTTGATATAATAATGGTTCACTCCATTTACCACGTCCATCTTCACTTACTACACGTACCTGTAATATTAGAATTTTGAAATATATTTAAATTTTCCTAATATGTCAGTTAAATTATTTATAAAATTTAATTGCTTTTTTTCTTGATTACCTTAATTTAAAAAAATAATATTAAAATGAGAAATGAAATTTAACAAACATATATACCATTATATTCATTTATTAATTACAGTGCTTAATTTATTCTAATGAATAAATTTATGTAAAAAAAATTTCTAAATTTTTTGCACATATTATATCTTAAATATATAAACAAAATTTATTATGCATAATAGAGATTATTAACTTACCCTAAATGAATACATAAATTGTGGCTTCAAACTTTCAAACGTATAATAGCTTCGTGCAGTTTCGACAACTGCTAATGAATCATTGTGGAATGATTCAATCTGAAATAAAAATAATAAAATTAAATTATTGAAATAATATAATAAGAAAAATGAAATTTTTTTCTATCCACTAACTTCATAAGTAAGTTCTTTTTTAATTGCATCCATTACTTTCCATGCAATTGTGACACCATTCTCCTGTACACCCTCAATTCGAAGATCGTTTACTAATGGTACCATAGTTCTGTAATTTATTTCTTTAAAATATATAAATTAATATAAATAAACATCAAATAATTCTTTTAATCCTTATAAGTTATATTTATCATTTAATAAATATTACTCATTCAACATTTCTAATAAACTAAATCTCATCCAATATAATAATATAAAACATATATATATATATATATATATATATATATGCCTTATGTGTTAAGATAGCACAGCGAAATTTACTTCTACCTGTAACGACGAAACAAATTAAAATTAAAAAAAAACCAACAATGTCGTAAATTCAACCAATGCGTATTGACTAATAATTGATTCCATCTTTGATACTTTATTTTCTGCAAAAATTAACACCGTATATGTGGAACCAGATTTTAAAGCAGTCAATTCTAAACGTTGTGTTGTAAATGTATTTTCAGTTGGATGAGCAATTGTTGTTGCCGGACATTCGGGACATTGATAACGATACCACAATTCCTGTAAGTATGAAAAATATAAATAAATAAAAAAATTAAATTAATCAATTTGCTAAATTAATTTCATTAATAATTAACTAAGAAAGTGAATTATATACACTACGAATATAATCAATTGTTATCGAATAATTTTAAAATAATCAACTATATGATAATAATTTTGATACTGATTTACCACTTTCACTATTAATTTATCAACTATCTACGGGATTCGTATCAACTGAGGAATAAATTTGAGTAATATTAGCTATGATTTAATTTTGAGTAACATTTTTATCAACAACAGTAAAACTTCAAGTAATACTTTGATTATTAATTACCTTAAGATAATTTTAGGTAATTTTTTTTCAACCATAAAGCAAATTTGAGAATATAATATCTTTGTCATCATTTTCAGTAATGTGCAACCAATTTTATCGAGAAAAATGTTATACTTATGAATAAAGTTATATCCAATTTATAATATTTTCTTACGAATATAATTTTTTTTTTGAAAATCCTTTTCAAATTAATTTATTTCAATCGTAACAAGCAATTTTGAAATATTAAATTTAATTAACCTTTCGTCCACCAAGCATTAATGGTTCATCCCATTCAATTGTAACCGATGTTTCATCAATTTTTGCTACCGTAATATGTGATGGTTTTGATGGTGGCTCTACAAACAAACTTCTTTTTCATTTATATTTTTTTAATTCAACCAATCACATATGAAAGTAAACAAAGAATTTCAACTTATACAACTAAATCTGCTCTATATTTTACTGTAAAATAAAATTTAATTAATACACTTTTTTTGTGAGAGAGAATATTTACGTCAAATTAATTTCTGATAATTTAAAAAAAAAATTTTTATATTATTTATTGATAATTATATTATTATCAATTAAATTTGAATAACCGGAAATGAAAGAAAAGAAACTTACGTGTACAAGAAAATTCAGGCCCTTCATCTTCGGCCCGATAGTATCCCGGATCACATTGACATTCCACACTACCAATATTTCTTGTACTACTATGTCGAGGACATGACTCACAATCGCCTAATCCATTTTTTGCTTTGTATGATTCAACGGAACAAGCTGAAATTGTTAATATTAAATTATGAAAATTTTGAAAGAAAAAATTGAAAGTATTGTAAACAAAAAAGAAAAAATTATTTGTTCTAAAAAGTTGTTTATTTTTTCATTCTAAAATAAATCCATTAAAATTTCTTTGATTCATTCATTTCCCAACATATTTATCTTTGTTAGAACAAAATAAAAACCATAATAAATATAAATATAGTTTACAAAACACATATGTTTACCATATGATAGATAAACTTCGTTTATTGCATTGATTGTAACACCTTTCTCTCTCTCCCTCTCTCTCTCTCTCTCTCTCTCCTTCTCTCTCCAAATATTTTAGCATCCTACTATGAATGAATTAGATTTTTTTTAATTTAAAATTTAAATGATTTAAAATTAATTATTCATTATTGAGGAAGTGCTTGAAATTATTCGAAATCTTTTCTATACTTCGTCATTCAATATCATTTTAAAAGAAAATTTCTTCAGTCATTTAATAATTAAACATTAATTATTTAAATTCATGAAACTATTTGAAATCAAATAAAGTATCAAATGATTAATTATTCATTGGACATTATTTTGAAATATTAAACTAATATTGATAGATAGCATTATCAATTCATTTTTCTTTTTCATTTCAAATATCGATTTCAAATATTTTTAAACACTAAATTATACATACAAACATATGTATATCTAATCCTTTTTATCCTCCTTAATATCCCTTAAAGAAAAAGAATATAAAATGAAAAAATGAAAATAATTTTCATCGTACAACAAATTTTTCACTTCCACTTTTTTCCGCTTACTTTTTCATATCATTTAATTATTATCATATTTGATCGCAAATTGATTTCATTTTATTTGACTGTCATTAATTCCGTCAATATTACGCTTTCTTTTTCCTTTTCCGGTTTTTGCTCATACAACTCATACAATCTTCGCTTATCATCCCAATCTATCCTTATTTTCTATGTAAATTTATCGCTACAAAATACTAATCTAAAATTTATCATCATCACATATATATTATATTAATTGTTAAAAAAATTTTATCAGCAAATTCTATCTCTTCTAAAAGCATCATTAATAATGATTAATGATGATGAGATGACCTTCGTAGCATTTTAATTTAACCTCCCTCTTTTGCTCATAGTTTCTATCATAACTTTAAAATAATTAAGAAATTAGATAAAATTAATGTAAATTGATATTTTCATGAGACAAAAAAAAGTTCTTTTTCGTTTAAAATAAAAATTTCAAACATATCTGAGCTGACAACACTTCAAATGCCATTGACCGATGGTCATAACATGCAAAAAGTCGCAATTAATCCAACTTAATAAATAATTTCTAGTAAGATGCATGTGAAATTTAATATTTGATAGTGATTGAATGGTCAATAATAGCCATTATTCATTCATTCTTATACTATCAATTAATTACAATCATTAATGTATAATTAATTTAAATTCAATTTAGATCGATAACTTTGTTATCGTAAGATTTCACCAATTTAAATTCAATTTACATCGATAATAAACGGAGATTTTATATCAAAATAAAAAATTATTTTTTATAGCAGAACTTGAGAAAAATATTTTATTAATTTAAATTTTGCAAATGTTTAATTCGTTTAATTATTTAAAAAATACTTTTATCACAGCAAACTGCGAATAATTAATTATTCTAAGAATGGTATTTTGCTTGAAAGTGATAAATGGAAAATTGTCCCTATGATTTAATAATATTCAATCGGATTAAAATTTTTCATTTTGAAATGATTAAAGGAAGCGCAGATTTTGGTAGGAATGCAGATGTGTGTTATCTTGTTAAATAATGCTAATTTATGCATCATCAAAGTAATTCTTTGCCGCTGATTTAATGGTTGTTGTTGTTGTTGTTGTTAGTTAAAGAAGAAGAAGAAGAAGGAGAAGCGGTAAGAAAAGAATAAGCTAAGCTAAGATTTGAACAAATTACGAATACATTGAATTAAAGCTTATATATCGAATAGACACTTTACCCATTTCAATAATATTTCGAGGAAATAAATGAAATTAATCAATTAATAGTCTTTTTATAAATGAATATAAAAGATAGATAAGAGGTGAAATGGATTGATAATATTGCCTATATTTAATGAAATATAAAGATAATGTTGGAAATAATTCTTTCATCAATCATATATTTCAATAAATAAAACAGAAAAATGTACAGATATATACTCAAATTAATTGAATTAATTAAATTTAGAAAAATGTATCAGACATATTTAAGTTAAAGATGTATTCAAATACATTAGAGTTATAACACGCTTAAAAGATAATAAAATAATAGCATACAAAGAAATAATTAATTAAAATATAATAATAATAAAAGTATTAAATATGTTATCATTCGTGAATGTGATAAAAAGAAGTAGACGATGATAGCTATAAGCTAATATTAAATTAGACAATATTATGAGATAAATTAGGTACAAGTTAATTAAAATAGCATAAGTTAACATGAAATTTGTTAAAAGTTTAGGATAAATTTAAATGCAATTGAATTAGTTAATACAATAAGGTAAGTTTGGATGTAAAATTAGTTAATTAGTTATATGTTATTAAAATTGACAAGTTTAATATACTTATAAGTATGATAAATAATTAAAAGAAAATTTTTCATTAAAAAGTTTGCATATATTAAATTTTCAATTTTCAAAAATTAATTTGTTTATCCCTTTTCTAAATTATCTGTCAATTATTCTATCGAATGATTTTGTTTACATACAAATAACAAATTTTCATCTCATGCATGATAATTTGCTGCAATTAAAAGTAATTTTTATTGATAATGTTGCATGCGAAATGTGCAATGACACGGAAAATGCAAATTGCTTGCTGATATCGAAAATAATAATAAATTAATCTTGTTGTAAAATTATCCAAATATATCTTTAATAAATTAAAAATGTTAATTTAAATTCGTTTCTGTTTAAAAATTTTTTTTCAAAAAATTAATTTAGTTTATTTCGAATTGAATTTTATTTTAGCACTGAAATTTGGCATTTCATTTAATCTATTTTTAATCATTTTAAAATATAATTTTGTAACGTTCAGCCTTTCCAACTTATTCTATTCGAAATTTTAGCGCAAATTTTTTGTAGTGAATCAGCAAAGAAAGAAATTTGAAAATTACAATGTTTCAGATAGCCTTTAAGTTAAAAAGAATGAAATATTCTTAAATATTGGGATGAGGAAAGAAATAACTATAAAGTGAAAATATGGGCTAAAAAATTTTGAGATATTTGAAATTGTATAGAATATTATTACTATTGATTAGTTTAACGAATATATGAAAATGGCTTTTGCAGAATTATTTCATTTGGTTTTCTTATTTACCACAAATCCAATAAATTAGTTACAATATGTAATGAAGTACATAAAAACTTATCGATAAACAGAAATTGTTGTATGTGTAAATTAAAAATATCTTTGAATAATTAAATCTTCGAATTTAATTACTTAAAATAAAATTTTAAAGTTTCATCAATATCTTCGTTCTTTCTATAAAATTTTACACTAAACTGATCTCTCTTCCCTTTCCACCTCAAAAAAAGATCAAATTATTGTCCTTACCTTTTTTTGTCATTCATCGAAAAGAAGAAAGAAAGAAATCACTTCCTTAGGTGTCAAATAACATCAATAAGCAAATAATACATCAATGACCTTTCTATAACCCTTAATTTAAATAAGCCTAAATTAACTAATTTAGATGGATCCTTTAACTATTTGCCGTCCACTACAACAGCAGAAATATCCTCCGACATTTTAATTTCATTCTTCGATGGTCATTAGAAACAATAGTTACAGTAATCTCATACATTAGCAGTGTTTACAATATAATAGAAAATATTACTAACAGCTGGAGTAGCAGCATTAGAAACATTATCATTATTATTATTATTATTACTATTAATATTATGAATGTGACCCCTAAGATTGTTCCCTTTCAAGGTTATTACTAATATTAACAACCTTTCAGGTTATTAATTTTATAAAGAAAGAAACTTCTTAATAACCTTAGTTTGCCCTTCAAATTTACATTTATTTGGTATTCCCTTTTTTCTTTTACCTATTCTACGCAGAAGGATAAAATTAGCTAAGACATGTGGAAGGAAGGAAAAGTGAAGAAAAAATAGGCGCAAAAGTACAATCATTGATTATCATCAGATCATTATTTGTTACGAATTTAAATAAATCAAATAATCTTTCGTTATTAGCAAAAAGAAAAATTAATACAACCAAAAATAATACACGCAACAATCGATAATTAAAAAAAATTTTTCAAATATAAATTCCAATAAAATGAAAATTTTATCAAATTATCCTATAATTATCAGCTTTCTTTTTGCTTTGTAAAATTAATTTAAAATAAAATAAAACAATCACTCAAGTTATTTCTTTCCTAAATTATATGCGAAATTTTATTACAATTCATTTAATATAACACTTATCAAAAATGATTATATAATAATATATGTGCACAATTTTTGTATCGATCATTAAAAAATATGTACCATTTAATAATTGCATTATTAAAAAAGTTATTAATTTGTTAGCAAAAATATTCAATAAATTTATAAATGATAAAATATGCAATAACAATAAATATCATTTATTTTTATTATTTCATTTTTTGTAAACAAAAAAAAGAAAAATTACAATTAAAATAATTTACTAACCAGTACAGGTATTATGCTTAATCGATGATGCATAACCTTTGTCACAGCGACATTCACCATTAGCCATATCCCATGATCCGGTTGCTTTACAAACATATGTTGCTTGCTTGATACCACCTTAAATCTATTTTAAATAATATCTAAAAAATCATTTAATAAATAACAATCAATCAATCAATATATAATGTAATGCAAAAGAATAATATTAAAAAAGATCAAATAAAATAATACATTAAATATAATCTGAATTTTTTTGAAATAAATTAAGTAATACATTAAAAGATTTATTTATAATTTGAATTTTTTGTCAAAGAAAATAAAAACTTAAAAGAAAGGAAGAAGAATGATAGGAAAAGGTACCAGCAGGTGAAGAATTTGCAACACATTTACCATTAACAGCAATGATTGAATGTGCTTCAGCGCCAGTTACTGTTTCCGGATAATGTACAAATGAACGAGTTATTTCCGGACATACTTCATAAAAAATCTAAATAAATTATATCTTTCTCCCTTTTTTTCTTTTCTTCTTTATTTTATTTCCGGAAAAAAGTCTAATTTTTGTTGAAAACTTTCGAAAAATTTTTTCGTTTTCTTTTTTTGTAATTATAAGCCATTTTGTAAAAATTAATTTCAAATGTAAAAAAGTTCAGATTAATCTTTAAAAAATATACGCAAATTTTTTAATTATTATTTTCTTTTGAAAATTTAGGCTAATTAAATATTCAGTAATTAATTATTTCTTTGTTTATTCCATCAATTAAAATGTGTGCAGGAAAATAAGAAGAATTTTCATTGTTAATCAGTACTTAATTACATATTTGAAATCAAAAATATGAAATGATTACGAATAAAGAATATAAAATAAATAATAAATTACTATTTTATTATAATTTATAAAATCATTTCTTTCTTTTTTGAAAGATCTTAATTCTTTTAATTCTTTAAATTAAACATAATAATAGTTAGTGTTTAATAAAATTTCTTCTCAAATATAATTCATAATTGAAAAAAATATTCTGTGAGATTCATTTAACTATTATTCATAATGATTTTAGCTTCCAATCTCTTTTCCGCCTTACTTCCACTTCAATTCTCATTATATTGATGAAATTTAAATTTCATCTGCCAAATATCCAAATACTATAACCCTTATGCTAAAAGAGTAATTAAAAGGAAATTTTGATGAAATTGCGTGCTACCATCATCTTCCTTTTCTTCTTTCCTCACTCTTATTTTATTAAATTTCATTCCACTGAAACGAATTTTCTAATAAAATTATTCTCAAACTTTCCATCTTATAAATTTATCCTCTCTTCAATTTCATTCTATGATGCAATGATTTTAAGCTGCCATTATTATTACTAATATTAAAATATTAAAATGAATAAATGGCATTTCCTAAATTTAATGTTTTTAAATTTCGTGCAAAATTGCAATTAAAATATTTCAAAATTTTATTTGCTAAAATTAATAAATGAATTATTTGATAAATATCGTACATTTTTAGAATAAATTAGACTACGAAATCAGTTCTTTAAATAATAAATGAAATACAAATAAATGAATTCATTGATATTTTCTTTTAAAATATTTTCTTTTTTTATTTAATTAATTTGTTAAATTTTATTTTAAGAACAAAAAGAGTAATTCAAATTATTCAAAACTAATGGTTTTTTTCTCTTTTGTCTTACCTCAATTACCATTAATTATTTTTTAACTCTTTTTATCATTACAAAATTAAACTTGAAATTCAAGAGTATAACAAAGTGTATTGCATGAAATTTGAAAATTGATAAATGTGATGCTTTTGAAAAAAAATTGACAATTTCCTAACGATGATTTTTATGATCCTGTTTAGCGTCATCCTAATTCATTACTGGTGCAATCATGACCTTTAGAGAATTCAGACGATCATCATAAAACTATCATAATTACCCATAAAATTGGTTGTTTCGATAGTTTGTGGGAGGGTCAGTTACCCCTAAATTACACTTCAAAGGAGAATGATTATTCATTTTCGATATCGTATCATTCTGCTACATTCTCATTTAATATCTTTTCTCATTTGACCTCTTTATAAATAAGTTCATTTTAAAAGTTATATCATAATAACAACAACATCGCATTTGTGATCATTTTGTTCCTAACTTATTTCAAAGTAATATGAAGAAGTTAAATTAAGCATACGATAACAATAAAAAGATATAAATATTTATAAAATATTTTATATATTAGAAGGAATTAATGACACTATTAAAATTCATTTTATTAAATATTTCAAAAATGAAAAAACAATTTTAAAATGTATGATTTTTTTCTTTAAACTAATCTTACTTTTCTTTTAAAAATATATTATTTATTTTATTTGAATTTTTTTATTGCTTATTTTCATCTCTTTCGGATGGAAATTTGCATATTTTGTTGCATATTTTTCAGTCAAAAAATAACTTTTAATGAATTATTTCAAATTTTTTAAATTTCTAAAATAAAATTAATACAAAAATGTATTATTGTTTGCTATGAAAACTTTTCGCATTTCTTACTTTTATCAAATTTAGCTAATTTAATAAAATTTGAATGAAATATAAAACGAATGGTACTATTAGTTAGTGGTACTAATAGTAAGTGCATTTTTAGTTTAAATGAAAAGAAATTTATTTTAAAATTTCATCCAAAAAAAATATTTATTTAAATCATGTTTTTGATTGATATAATTAAATAATATAACCTTAACATTAAGTATTGATATACAAGCACCCGAATCTCGAAAAGCAAAATATACAGCATCTTTAGTCACAGTATAGCTGCGAACTTCTCGATTTACAGCAGCTGTAGTTGGATCGTGTTTCGAATATCGTCCTGTATCAGCGGTCAATCGATCTATCAAATCCCTACAAATCTTTCATTCAAATTAAATTTTAATAAAAAATCTAGTATTACTTACTTATTGATATGTAATGTGCAAATGAGTTAAAAATAATCATATACATATTTAAAAGTAATATTTATGATGTCTAAAAAAAGTATACATCAAATATATATATGAGAAGGAAGCATTTTCTACAATATAAAAATTATAATTTATTTAATTCAAAATAAAATTATAAAATTTCCAATCAAATTGATTGAAAAAAAAATTACGACTAACCTTTTAGAAAACAAACATTACTTACCAGTAATCGGAATTCCAAACATTTTGATATTGTTCATTGTTCATTACTTGAACAGCATATAATCGGAATGTTTCCTTACATGAACGAGCATTACCTGGGAATTCACTACAATCACGCATCGTAAAAGTTACCTAAAACAAAAGTTCAAATAAAATTTTCTATTTGATTAAATTCATTTGAAATTATAAATTGAAATCAAAAATTAAAAATAGAAAAATAAGGCAATATTAAAATGGTTAAAAATTTATAAAATACTTAAAAAGAATTTTTAACGATTTCTTTTAAATTATGAAATTAAATGATAAGTACCTTTTCCTTTAATTTAAAAATAGGACAAAAAAAAGGAAAAGTTCCAAAAAATAAAATGAATTCAATAATTGACGAACTTCGACATGCAAACGATTTGCTCCTTTCACATTAATTATCGGTGTTCGCAACCAATTATCAACATTTGGCTGATCAACGTTACAAACAACGTATGCTCGACGATTATCGACACCTTCTGATCCACGATATGTCTCCTCAAGCCACTACAAAAGGAAAAATGAAGAAAGACAATGAATTCAACATTTTATTTTATTATAAATTTCAAATAATATATTTACTAAAAATTTAATAATGTAAATTTAATTAAAGAAATATTTTTTCCATTTATCAAAGTTTCTTTTCACTTCTCAAACCTTTCACACGTAAAAAACTTTTTCATAAATGAAATAAAAAACAAACTTTAAATTTTAAATTAACAATATAATTAAGAGACTCATTTATCAAATCTTTTATTATAAAAAAAATTCTAATTTAAAAATGGAAAAAAAAACTTTAATGATATTTTACAATAATGATAAACATAATGATAAACATTGATAAATTTTTACTTCTTATCATATTTACCTTACATTTATCTTTTAGTCCCTTATTGATTTCTTTTTTTGTTTGTTTGATTCTCATATATGAATAATGAAAGGTAGTCATACCTTAGTAGAAATTATTAATTGATCCTACAGGTGTGTATGTCTCTTTCTTTTTCCATTCATCCATTTTTTTTTTTTGTTGCATTTCCGTTATAATAGTAAATTTGGACATTTGGACATCACAATGCTATCCCAATGGTCACTAATAAGCACCCTTAAAATATGAAAGGAAAGATTTTTCCCACTCTTCTACACCACTACCACTATCACCACCTACCATTCATAAACTATTTATTATATTCCAAACTCATTTTAGTGGAAGAAATTAAGAGAGAGAGAGAGAGAGAGAAGTAAAGAAGAGAAAATCCATTTTGCAAAAAATTATTTTTTAAATGCCCTAAAATTTTGGCTTTTATACGACATTTTAATCTATATGTCATATATATATATTAGATCAATAATTCATATTAATTTTATTTAAACTTATAAAATATTAAATGTTAATTTTATATCCATTCTTTATAATATAATTGAATTATTTTTATTTTTCTAAGGAATTTGAAATCATAAACATATTAATATAATATCTAAAATTTAATGAAACTTTTTTAAGATTAATTTTTAAGAAAAGAAAGAAAATTTTTTTAACGAATTTTAATTGATTGTTTACAAATTATATTATTCATCGATTTATTAGTAGTTCAGTCATTCTATTGTTATTTACTTATTTTCAAGTATAACCTTGTGAGAAGACAATGGATAATATATAACAAAGATGTATGGTACATATATTTGGTCATTCATATAATGACCTCGTTCACCAGAAATGGAATCCTTCCAATATTTTATTGATGACATGTATTGGTCATCATTAAGCTTATTAATAAAATAATTGGCATAAAGATATAATAGTTTTAAAATATTTATAATTTTTAAAATTCTTACCACTTAATTGTTTAATTAGAAATGCAATACTTTTATTTATTTCTTTTTTTAATTTTTATGATTTTTGACAAAAAGTGAAAATTTTTTAAATTTTTTTGAAAAAACAGAAATAAATTAAATAAACGGAATTTTTTTCAACGGAATTTTTGCTGTTTATCTTTGCAGAAAAAGATTTAATATACCATAAAATAAAAAAGTAATAATTTTTTACTTTCTTACTGAAAGATTTAAAATAATTTTATTTCTTTTCTCATATTTATTTCAAATATTTAAATATTTTTGCAAAACTGAATAATTTGCAATAAAGTTTCAACTAAAATCATTTTAAAATTTAACAAAATAATTGCATTAACTATTCCATTACAAACATTTATCTAAACATAGTCGTTGTTTATTTATTTCATAGTTTTATTCAATTCAAAAAAAATTTAACAAATTATCCATTTATTTAATACTTTTGATATATTTGAAAGTCATCTGTCCTATGATTTCATTAATTATTCTTTTTCATTAATTAATTTTATTATTAACTATATATATATATATATATATACATATGTAAATTTGTTTTTTTTTACAATTCCTTCCAGTTTTGGTGCTGTAAACAACAACAACAATCATTGATAAATATTGCTGTCATCTACTTAATTATTATCCATCCATAAAATCCACTTAATTGAATAAGATAGAAGTTTATCCTTTTCATAATCATTTTACCAAAAGATATTTCAATTCTCCTCCATTACCCTCAACCTTTTAACCTATTCTCTCTCCTTAGAAGATAAAATTCATCTCATACCTTCCTCTTTTCATCTTTCAATCTTCACACTTACTCCCCTTCTTCACTTCCTATAAATCATTCATATATTTCTTAAGTACCATTTCACTACCAATCACTGCCATCATTTTGTATTCATTCATTCTTTCGTCTTTTTGACCTCAAAAAAGAAAGAAAGAAAAAAATTACTTCCACTAAATTTAAATTCATCAATCTTACCATTTGAATATCTAACATACCAAATAAAAATTTCTGTTGTTGTTGTTATTGTTGTCACATAGTGGCATTGTTGGATAATAAACAGCATAGCATTGCATAGCGCTACCATCAACGCCAACTACTACCTATTACTACCTCATAATGCTACTTCAATAAATCTCAAGGTTAATTGACTTATTTAATGGGTTCCTCCGTTCTTTTTCATACAAATATATACATATGTATATATTATAAAATTGTAAGGTAACAAAATTTGTCAAAAAAAACTTCCATAATCCATAAAAAAATGAAATTTGTTTTGTTAGAATAATTTCAATGAAATATAATTAACTTTTAAAAAAAGCGTAATCAAATAGAATCGATAAATTCACAAATAAAATTTTTGCATTGAAATATTCGAATTAGAAAAAAATTTTTTTTTTTCAAATTTATTTCAAATATTTGAATGAATAAACTTACTCCAATTTCGCCATCTTCCATATTTGAATGAGTCTGCCAGCGCAATTCAGTAGTCGAATTTGATGTATCGAGTAGAACAACTGAAATAAATATATAAAACTTCCATGGTGTCATTAAAAAAAAACTAAACTTCCTTCTTATCAATTTCAGATTGCAAATAGCTCACAATTTCCTGCTATTTTAGATTTCAAAATTAGTACTTATCATAATAATAGTAGTAGTAATAGTAATAATAATAAATAAATAATAAGTAATTGAATAACAAATAATATACAATTAAACAATAAATAATGAATGATTACATAATAAATAATAAACAATTAAGTAATAAATAATTAAATAATCGAAAAAATGAAAATATAAAAAATTTCATGGAAAATGATAAAAATAAAGAAAAAAAAGAACATATATCATTGATATATGAAAAGAAAGAAAGAAATGAAATTTAATTTCCAATTTTTTTCTCTCTTTAAGATTACCTTAACAAAACGATTTGTTGCCAGCCATTCTAACAAAAAAAGGTTTCATAAGTTAAAATTTCCGAAAATTTAGGACAAACACATAGAAATGAGAAGGAACAAAAAGAAGGAAAAAATTAATGAAAGGTTTTTTTGTAAAAAAAGAAAATAACGAAAATTTTCGTTTCCAATAAATTTACAGTTTTCTTCATTCTTCTAAAATATTTTATCTTCTCTCTCTCTCTCCCTCTCTTTTATCCCTTATGATATTTTATCTTCTCTTCATAAGTGCCATTATCAGTATGTGAAGTGAAATTTCTCTTTTTGAATTTCAATAGGCTATAATAGACAAAGTATGTTTAAGTTGAATTTTCGTAAGGCTAAAATGATTGAATAATGCAAAAATAATGGTGAGAAAAGTAACAAAATAAATCTTTGGCTCTTTATATTCTTCCTTTTCTTGGCTTCTGCTCTTACTGTCTATCCTTAATAAAAAAATTTAAGATAGATTAATTAAATCCCATTTCATTTCATAAAACAATAAATTAAGTAATAAAAATTATATCGTAAAGTTAAATTTAAAATTTCACTATGAATTGCTAAAATAATATATTAAAATATTTTCGCTAAAATTATTCTTATTATTCGAATTATTAAATAATGGAAGAAAGAAAATATATTTTTCAATTCTAATCTTTTATATTCAATTTTCTCAAGTTATTATTTAATTTAGCAATGAATGAATTGAGCCAAATTCCGATAATAGCCAAACATAAAGAGAGAGAAAGAGAGAGAGGGAGAGAGAGAGAGTTGAAAAGTATAAATTCGATATCTATCGCTTAGGATAATTCGAGAATCTAATATAGTAATTAGTAGTACTAAAACATCTGCAACCATTTATTATATATTATATCTTTAATGTTATAAATAAGAATATCAAATAAAAGAATTAAAAAAAGACAACAAATTGATTATTATTTATTGGTAATTCCATATAAGCCTAAAATCATTTACTATTGTTTATATTTTCCTGAATTATAATTACACACATTTTTATTAAATTTTAAAGAGTGAAAATTCAATAGGAAAATAAATTGTGATCAAAAAGAAAAAGAAATTCACAATAAATAAACAGGTATAGAAATACGGATATTAAAATTTTGATATAAAAAAAGTTAAATTAAAATTAAACTTAAAATTAATAATTGTAATTTATCAGACAAAAAAGCGAAACAATACAAATGATAATTGTAATTAACAATTAAAATAAAGAAATTTTGAATAATTTATTATAATTTTTCCTATTTACTATCTCTATAATAGCGATATTTCTATGCTTTAAATTTAAAAAGAAAAAAAACCATATTATTCCCTTCTTCTTTTCTCTATTGTTTTAAAATTAAAATCTGCCAATTACAATGATACTTTTGGAAGACAATGAAAAATGAACTGCGCTATGTAATTGTAATATTTATTATAAATAAATGTTAATTTACTGAATAAATATTATGCGATGAATTTTTTGAACTTTTGCTATTTGATTAAACAATTTGTCATCAAATTGACATCCTTTTCGGTAAATGAATGATAAATGAATCATTGTTACACAGTAGAGTAAAGAAAGCCGACAGTCTTTATTATCACTAATAATCAGATCGATGAATTATTTACATAGGATGAATGATAGGGAGAGAGAGAGAGAAGGAGGGAGAAAGTAAAAGAAGGATATCACTTTTCATAATAATAATTATCACTTTCTTTATCTTTACAACTCATAATCATTTCCTTTTTCATTCAATATCATCATCTATTACTGTTATCACTACCACCACTAATACTATTTAATATTATCACCAATAGCATCATTTATATTTCTAATGACTAGTCAATGATAAATATTATCATATTATTTCATTTCTATCCCTTCATACATCTTCCAATGACATCCTTATCATTATCAATGTAGTTGTTTACATAGCATACTAAAAGGAGATAAGAGAACATATGAAAAATGTTTCCTTCTTTAACTGCTTCCTAACTTTTAACCTTCTTAATGACAATAGCAATAAAAATTATTGATTTATTATCATAGTGAAACAAATTAAAAAATTTTTCAACAAATCGAATCTATCATTGAAAATACATTTCCAGTTTTTCTAATCACAACTAATTAACTAA